GAAGTTTCTCAGGCTAGTGCAGCCGAATGGTGAAACATAGCTGGTATTCTTTTAGTCTAAGGACAGGCTAAATAATAGTTTACTTAGTATTTGATCTAGGGAGGATCAAATAAGGGGAACATCCCTGTATTGAAACTTTGTCTGAAACAAGTGCTCTACGTCAGAAAGATACTGTGTTACTTGAAAGAATGAACTGTTAAAGTTACAAGTATTATTCCAAGTGCAACAAGGAAAAGTTACGTCTTGCAACCACACGCTGTATACTTAATAAAATTGTTAAATTTTATTTGTAGATTGCCTCAGCTCCGTCTATTCTGTGTACAAAGTGCCATTTCTCACAATATTACAACTTACCTCACGTGGTGGCAGAAACGCAGGGAAAAGTAACCAAATAAATCTACATTCTTCTCTCCAGTCACGCTACAGTATATACAGTGTAATTACTACTAAGTTATTACTTTCTTAATAAAGGAGGAGGTGCAATTGAACAGCCTCCCTTCCAACTTGATGGTAAATTTGGTTCCTAATCGGCAACCTCCATTGCAAATCGGCCAGTTCTTTTTAAAATTGGGAACTGGGGTAAAATCTCTTAATACTGGTTCCTTTTCAAATTGGTGGCAACAATAAATCATCCCTCCGCTCCCTTGCTTCTTTTCAGTCATAATCCTCTCTGGACACATTGTCCCTCTTCCGTCCCGCCTCCCTCTCCCTGATTTGCTAAGAAGCCGAAGCAAGGGGAGTTTTGAAACTTTCAAACCTGTATTTTGCTATAAATATGCTTCTTATCAATGTACTGGTATGCTTGTATGTGAGCTATCACTACAATTGCATCCGCTTCAGCTGAATCGCTCATTAAACCTCGATGCCTCTTCTTCGCTTTGGCAAGAGTCTCATTTCAATTTTTAATATTAATAAAATTGGAATCAGGCTTCTCTGAAGGCTCGCCAAAGTGGCGTTCCCTCTTTAGTGGGAACTAAGGATCCTCTCCCCTTGGAGTCGACCCTCCTAAAGTTCCTATTGACTTCAGGAAGGGACCTAGAAAGCAATAAGGAAGAACCATCAACAGACAGAACCTCACTACCTCTGAGGATGCTTGCCATAGATGCAGGCAAAACGTCAGGAGAGAATGTCTCTAGACCATGGCCATATAGCCCGAAAAACCTACAACAACCCAGACAGAACCATCTTGGGAAAGGTATGAGGGGTGTTGATTAATGATGTGCCCTGACCCACTTCCTGTGGACTAAGAACATCACAACTTGGCCCAGTTGTGAGTCCTCCTCTCCATGGGTGCCAACTCAAGGCACACACTTCTCCCATCTTTTGAAGCAACTCCAACAGACCTCACAACCTCTGAGGATTCCTGCCACTGTGGATATGAATGAACATCCCAATGTGCTTGTTTCCATTTCCGCAGCCTTCACTTGAGCATGGTTGTTCAAGAAAACCAGTCACTCTGGTAATGCAAAGATACAGAATGGGGGACACGCAGAGGTGGCCCTAGGTAATTTTCAATGGTAAGCAAACAGTATTTTGGCGCCCCCCCCCCCCAACCAATCACTGATATATATTTTCTGTTCATCATGGGAGTTCTGTGTGCCATATTTGGTTCAATTCCATCATTGGTGGAGTTCGGAATTCTCTTTGATTGTAGGTGAACTATAAATCCCAGCAACTACAACTCCCAAATATCAAGCACTATTTCCCCCAAATTCCACCACTGTTCACATTTGGGCATATTGAGTACCCGTGCCAAGTTTGGTCCAGATCCATCATTGTTTGAGTCCTCAGTGCTCCATTACATCCTAGTCTCCAGGACAGCAGAAAACAAGCTTGCTCCCTCCTC